ATACACACACGTGCAGACTAAAAATAGCAGCAGTCTTACCTTTCTGTACACTATCATGTTGGGGGACTCATCCGCTACCCCATTGGTCCCCTGCCCACCGCTGTTGGTCTGTGCCATGATCCAGTAAGTAAATCTGCCACAGGAAATGTCAGGTGCTCCTGTTGTGGACAGAATGGATATTTCGGTCCATCAGAAGAACAATGGAGCCTGAACGTGACTTGCCCTTACCTTGCCAAGAAGAGAACAATTTACATAACTTGTGGCCTGGATCACCTTTCAACATATTTGACATTTCCACATGGAACAGATGTGCAGAAGTTCCTGCTTGGCTACACATGTCTGCTTTTCACAAGGTCTTGACAAGGACATTTTCTTTTTTTAAGAAAGGGGGCTGATTTTGCACAAGGTATGTTTACTGCCACAGTGTGAATTCCCAGTGAATGGGGCAAAAGTTCAACCTGAAAAGCAATGAGAGATACCATGTAGGACTGTGATCACTCTTTACTCAGATGGATTCGTGGTGCACGAAAATCAGTGTCTGAAACAGTGATAACCTTTTACTGTTTGTTGACAGGATTCGGCAGAAATCTTAATCTCCTCTTTCTAAGATTGCAACGGCAAGATAAGGGGAGGTGAAGACCCGGACCCTGTCAACGGTAAATGCAGTAAAACAACACACCGTCCCTGGAGAAGGTAGGCTACTCTACAATGCAGCTTGGATACATGTTTTTTGGGTAAAGCGACCGTAACCAAAGCGTGCAAGACTGTGCAAATGTAACAGATACGGTATGCACGTTACAGCTTCATCATGATTTCTTCCCCTTACGACACCCACACGACATCCTTGGGAGGTTTAGTCTGCAACACTAAATAGCCTATAGCATGCAAACAGCGAAGTCATGTAACCTGCTTTTAACATGAGGCCGTTAGCTGCACTATATTGTGTTTTCTTACCACAAGCCACTGCCCGCTTCAGCACCTTGGACAGCTACCGCAAAACGCCCGCGCCCGTTGTCGTCCCCTCTCCTTAATCACGAATAGCGCGCAAATGCACAGACAACACAGCGACATCGGTCACCGGAGGAGAGGGAGGGGAAGTGGAGGGAAAGGGGGGCTTACCTGAAAAAACGCGCAGCCCGCTATAGGACTCCTGAATCCGTGCAGAGGTGGAAGCCTGGTCCTTCGCGTTCAACGTGTCAACTCGCAGACATAGGAATGCGAGGATTGTTCATTGGCAACGTGAAGAGGCAGACATTCGGTGGACACTTGGTGTGGTACAGCTCTCTGTCTCTATCTCTCTCCTCTCTCCTCTTCTCCCAGCGATGCTCAGAAGCACGGGCGCGCCACCTCTGAGCGCCGTGAACGCGCATCGATCCATGACCAATAGCGTGTGAGGAATAAATTACAACCCATTTTGGAGACATACAGCTATATGTTTTTGTTTTTTTTCTCCCTTTCTCAAATTGCATAGCCGTGCACTGCGGTGATATACTGGTTCTGAAAGCTGGGCCAAGATTGAGGAGAGTGGCGGTATATTAATATTTTAACAAATGCAATCTTTACCAAAGGTCAAGAGACAAAATAAAGCACAGGTTCCATTCTTCATTTTTCTGAACCAGGAGGAGAAACTGTCCTGAATATGCAGACTATAACAGAGTCCAGCTGTTCTATCGGTTGATACTGTTTAGTCTTAATGAGGTAAATTTGCTTTAATCAGCAGTGGAAAGTAAATAGATTTACTCAAGTAGCCTGAGGTACAATCTGAGGTAGTTACACTTTACTTGAGTGTTTTAATTTTATGCTGCTAAATACATGTTATTGCATCAGTAGCCTAATAATAATTTGATAGTATACAATAATATAGCGCTGAAGTCATTTTGCCTGTGTAGTGTTACTTCGATGTACTTTCAGAACACTTTGCTGATAATACTTACAAGCTTTAAAGTTCAATTTTGAATGCAGGACATTTACTTTCAATGGAGTATTTTTTATATTGTGGTATTGCCACTTTTACTTTAGTAAGGGATCTGAATACTTCTTCCACCACTGTCCTCAATACATAATTCATGTGACATGGACTATAATGTAATATTACTTTAAACACAGATACGGGCCACTCCCAGATCTTCTCTGAAACCATATTAGCATTTCTTTCATTAAAATGAATACTTGGGGGTATATGCAGAGGAGCTGAAATCTACTCTTTCACCTGCATGAGATGAGGTAGCTCACTCAAATTCAGCATTTGTATTTCACAGGAAGTTCCATGAAACTGTGTCAGACACTGACTGCAAATGTAAGAAACTGTTATAAATCATCTAAGAGTTTCTGTGATTCAGTGCATGCAGCTCTGCAGAGATAAATGAATAAACAGAAAATCTCTTCATTTGCTGCAATCTGTGGCTTTGAGATATGCAGCAGTCCAGGCGTGAAAGATGACAGATGTGCCCTTTCTCCCTATGTACTGTATGTGTCTGTATGTTATCTTCAGTCCCTCCTATCCCCTTTGCTCTCTCAGGACTTTAGCTCTCTGCAACATGGACCTAAACATTCAGTCCACTCAGTTTCACAGTGAGCTACAACATCAGAATTACAATAATGTGTAGCTATCATAGATGTGTTTATGACAACAATTTTGTAAGGATAATTGGCTAGTAAGCCAAACAGCAATAGATGTTGGAGCCTCAGGGGATACCGAGTCAACTGATGCCCATGTTTCATTCTGTCTTTGCATTATTTTCCTTGTTTCCTTATAATCTGTTATGGTAATCATCTGTTTATGTGCCTATTTATATAAGATGAATGTGCTGCAAGTGGGTCACTTCAGTCAGGCAGTTTTCCAAAGTCACTTAATGCCTCCTCAAACACATGCAACCTGGAGTTTTTTACAATTTTCTTCATATAGGTGGTAAATTACTTGTGTTTTAGTGATGCGGATTGGACAGCGAGGTATGGCTGTCTTCATAAGATGGCTGTCGTCATATAGAAAGTAGAAGCTATGTTGTTGAAATTTGCAATGAATTAATTAATCTGAGCTAATCACGCTTACATACAGATTCACAAAGGGTTCAGATCTCAGGCCACTTATATTTGATCTCTTATATGCTGCTTTTAGTCCAAATCCTGTAATCCTGCAAACTGATCTAAATTCACTTCATTGATGTATCTGGACTGCAGGACTGAAGGCAGAGTTAGAAATGTTGGTGTTATAATGGATTCTGCAGCAACACCAAGACAGTAATTTCATCAGCCTTTTATTTTCTACAAATAGCAGCAATTAGAAATTTCATGTCCGTAGAAGATGTAGAGAAACTCATTCATGCCTTAATCTCAGGAGGATAGACTGAAGCAATGGCCCCTTTTTTGGTTTCCCAACAGACCACTAGACCCCTGCAGACCAATTCAGAATGTTGCTGAAAGACCCATTTTTATACTGTTATACTGGCTTCCACTTCGTTATAGAGCAGATTTTAAAGTGTCATTGTTAGTTCATAAATCATTTAATAGCTTAGGGCCAAAATACGAAGAAAATAAACCCAATAGGCCCCTTAGATCTTTAGGAAGCAGTCAGTTAGAAGTGCCTCGAGTCAAAACTAAACACCGTGTTGGATTAAGCTTCTATGCTGCACACAGAATGAACCAGCTTCCTGTTGAATCTAACTGTACCTGTACTTTAGCCACTTTCAAATCAAAATGAAAGATTCATTCTCAGGTGTCTTTGATTGATTATATTCTTTTGTATTTATATTTTTCCTTTATTAATTGTATTACTGTTCTGTGCTGGTACTTTGCAATAACCTTAATTTTTCTAATCAGTATTTTGTGCATTTTAGTTAGTTAATTTCATTCTGTTTCATTACATTTTACCATCCATTATATTATATTTTGATATGTTGTTTTAGCTTCTCTTTTGGAAGTGAATAATACAAATAAATGCTATGCCTTGCTTTGTTTTTATAGTTCATGGTCATGGTGGTACGATCCCATCCATCCATCTTACTTCACTGTGGGCTCTCAAAACACTCCCCTGTGTGGGACAGTTACAGCCATTAAACTCCAGAAAGAACTTTTTTCTCAAAACAACATTAGGTCAAGTTATTCAATATTTTATAGGATTCTTTTTTTTATTTGTTGTGATGTGCGATCAATAAGGCAATAAGGTAAGAAACTATAAAAGAAACAACACAACACAACAGCATTAAGTGTAGGCCTACTATATGTTTTCAATTCTTCACTCTAGCTGTTCCATAAATTCACCCCTTTAACTGAGATACACTGATTTTTTTACATTGGTTCTAACAACACAAATTATTTTCAAATCATACTTTCTCTCATTTTAAATGACATTTGGATACCTTCAGGTAATAATTGATTTTAACTTAATTTTTTAGTCTTTAAAATCTCTAACTCTTGGAGTCTTTAAACAGTTGGTTTTGTTTGTAAGTGGTTCTGTTTACATATACTATGGCTCTCTTTTGACTCTATTTTTTATCTCTATCTTTTGACTGTATAGTTTTAATAACCACAGCACCATCTCAATAGCTTACATCATAGTCAGGTCTGTCCAATTTAAATACCATATGTTCCTCAAAGGTCAGACATTGGTTATAATAGTGACCTGAGTCCAGCTCATACAACATAATGCCACTGATTCTAAAGCTGTAATGCAATTAATAGAGGGTAACAGACAAGCCCATATCCAAACAATTCAGGCCACTGCAGACTTGCAGGCTGTTATGTACACGATATACCCTTCTTATTTATAATGTCTCCACTTTAAAATATAATAGCTTTGCAGAAAATATGTCAGAGTCTGTTCAACAGTTCAACAACCTGTTTAACAGTTTTGTTTACTATATTCACTAGAATTGCTATTTATTAATAAGTTAACAGAGTGGTTTTCACAGGATGAGCTGCGGCCATATATTTGGGTGAACGGTCCCTTTAAGTGGCTTGACTGAAAACTCAAAATCCCATAATGCACCGGTCTATTCTTCGTCGTCAAACAAAAACGCGGAAACAAAAGAAATAATCAGTTTGTCAAAACAAATAACACCGAGTCGGCATAAAGTGAGCGTAGCTGTAGCTGACAGCTGTCAAAGTTAACACCACAGCTTCTCTTGCGCTGTCTGAACGACTTGCCATGGCTTTGAAAAGAATACAGAAGGTAAGAGTATTCGTTAATTTATCTGATGTGCTGAAAAGGTCGGAGCGACACGGAAACGTTGCTCTAACGGTAGCGAGTCAATCACCTTATAGCATCTGTTTGCTAACCTAATGTTGATTATTATGCCAACGTTTTGTGAATGATACAAGACTAGGAGATTATTTCTCGACACAGCTTTTACTGCCAGCAAGTCTGCTATTTGTGCTAGTGGCGATGGCGTTATACCAAAGCCAGTTAGCAAAGCCGTTAAACTTAAATGAGCTAACTTCGCTGGCTGCTAAAGTTGGCCTAGCAAACGAGCAATGTGAAAGCACTTTTAAGTTGTGTTTATGGGTGGTTTTCAATATATTTTAATCCCCAGAATCTCAAATAGTCGTTCGTAAATTTGCAGATTAAGTAACTATAATTTTAAGTATGCTGCTTTTAAAGCTATGCACTACAGTGGGGCGGAAGCTGTTAAACAAGTTGTTGTTTGTTTATTTGTACAGGAGTTAAATGACTTACAGAGAGATCCTCCAGCTTCCTGTTCAGCTGGACCCGTAGGGGAGGACAGTAAGTGTGAAAATGTATAACTTGATGACATGTAATCTGCTCCTTTGTAATTGATATATGTCTGTAAAGTATGTTCTCACAGATTGTTTCTTTATCATTGTTTCCTGTAGTGTTTCACTGGCAAGCTACCATCACAGGACCGGTGAGCCTTTTCTGTATTAGTTTTCTGGATTTTTTTTTAAACCAAGCTGCTTCTGGATCTCCAGACAATAGTGTTTTATGTTGACTTTACAGCACTTTCTAGTCTGTATGGAGAGCACAGACTGGCACACTCTATCCCAATGTTACTCACTGAAGCCCATGGCATTATTGAGACAATAGGAAAAACTGAAATGCCATAATATCTTAATTTAAACAAAGGGAATCTTAAACAAATTAAAGTCAAATAATAATCTGAATTATGCTTGCTCACTCATTGGAAATGGTATTTTATCCCATAAGGATACTGTAGCAGGCATAATTTAACATAATTTGCTCATCTGTTTCAGAATGACAGTCCGTATCATGGAGGAGTATTCTTCCTTTCTGTTCATTTCCCCACGGACTATCCCTTTAAACCACCAAAGGTATGATTATTTATCCAAGACACTGATTAGCTCAAAACTACACCGCCTTATTGTTTTTCACAATTTTCTGACATTTTATAGAACAATTAACAAATCTGTCCATTGACAGAGACTCCAAATCCACTTTGAAAAGCAGGGTATTTAACCTATTTACTCTCTGGTTGTTATTTCCATAGGTTGCCTTTACAACAAAAATCTATCACCCAAACATAAACAGCAATGGTAGCATCTGCCTTGACATCCTGAGGTCACAGTGGTCGCCTGCACTTACGGTGTCAAAAGGTAACTAACATCTACATTTTGCCTGTGAAGTACAGTATAGTACATTACAGCAACACTGCGTATGATCTGGATTATATACATTACAGAAACACTGCGTATGATCTGGTTTGTATCTAAGATTTAATATGAAGTCATGAGAAAATTTTGATTTTTTTTTAACGTAATTTGACATGCTTAATGGTAAATTAGGATGTAGGGACAAAATATACCATTAGGAGGGATTGTCAAAGATGGGTATGTTAAATTATATCAAACAGAGTGAGGCAGTGAACTGTATTTAGTTATGCAATCACTGTGCTGTCAAATCTGGATTCTCCCAAATGAATGATTTTGAGCCTCTAGAAACACAGGTAACAGGATTTTCCGAGGCTGATTATCCAAAAATCAACCTCTGCATCCTGTGTACTTTTGTCACTTTAAAAACTGAAATTGCAGGTTTTGTGTTGTGTAACTGGAGGAACAAACGATGGTGATGTTCAAATATGTGTTTCAAGGATGAAAGCAGCATGAAATCAAAGCTTGGCCATTTGTATTTAAATTGGTATGTGAAGATTGAGCTAAGAAGTTGGGGAAGTCATCTTTAATTTATTTGAAAGCTGTGTTCATACCGATTTTTCATCTTTTTTTTTCCAGTTTTATTATCCATATGCTCTTTGCTGTGTGACCCAAATCCAGATGATCCGCTAGTCCCAGACATTGCACACATCTACAAATCGGACAGACAAAAGTGAGTATGAAAGTCAATGACTATTGGCATGTGGACAGACTGAAATCAGTCTACTGTTCTTTAGAAACCCCACTCTGATTTTCTTCTCTCTACAGGTACAACAAAGTAGCCAGAGAATGGACTCAGAGGTATGCAATGTGAAGGACTGAAGTGTCAGCAACAATGATGCATCCCTGAACACCTCAATATATGACAGTACTGTTTCAACTGCTCATCCACACTGGTTCTAGCTGAGGTGTTTTATACGCTTGAAGCACTTTCTCTACTCAGATCAGATTTTACTTGATTTAACTGTTTTTACTGTTTATTTTTCCCTTAAATTGGCATTATTATCATTATTATTATTATCATCATTATTATTATTATCATTATTATTATTATTATTATTATTATTATTATTATTATTATTATTAGCAGTGGTGAGATGGCCTGATTGTATTTTTCTTTTAAGAGATTTATATTGGACAAGACTGTACTGAATTCATTTTGCATTGTTTTGCATTAAAAGCATTGATCAAAATTGAATTACAGTTTCTTTCTTCACAATACACAAGTAAAATGATGATTTTAACTATCCTCCTGTGGAACAAAATTCAGGTGGTTCAGTGTAATTTCTGTCAAATAACAAATCACGTTTATTATTCACATGACCACTAGGTGGCATCCTTCACTTTTTACTTTCCTACCCTTTTACATAGGGCAGTTTCTCTCCTGCACAACTAAATTTTCACATTTGTTTTACATTCAATTCAGGGCCATTTGCTAAATGGTTATTCGTGGGGATAGTGGATATAACAATATATTGTTTTATTAATGAAATGGAAATGAGAAGAGATGTTATGTCCATTGAAATTAAACCACCCGTTATCATCACCTCTGCTGCTTGCACTCTAGCTGCTGTACACTGGTGAAGCTAGTCTACACACATTAATTGAGCAGCAGTAGTAACACAAGTAGTAGTAACTAGTGTTGGGGAGTAGTGAACTACATGTAATCAGGTGGGATTGCTGCAAAAGCAAACCCACTATATGTTCTTCTCAGGTTCTTATTCCATTTTATTCCATCTATTCTGTTTTTTGATATGTAACTCCTTCTACACATGTTAAACAAACTCCATTCAAACTTTAAAATGTTCAGCTAAATTAGGACATTATCAGATGTATTTAGTTTTTTAATACATTTCATACTTACCTAAATATTCAACATTTCATCTGCATTTTTTTCCCATTGAAATGAATGGAAAGAAGGTTCAAAATCTCAAATTTTTCATAACTTTTCATGTATTTTTCAATCCCTTCTACTCATTAATACTTTCAGTTAGAAACGTCATTCAAAAGTTCATTCATTTTTGGTTATATTAAATTTTTAAAAAACTTTTTATATGGTAAATGTTTAATTTTCATGAACTTTTCTGATCTTTAAAAATTCCAAAAGTTCTTCTCACATCCACAAATTTCACACCTTGTGCATCATCTTTTGCCAAATTGTAGGAGATTTTGTCTTGTTCATGTCAAGTGCAGTGACTTACAGAATTTGAACTATGAGCTTCAAAGTGACGGGAGTACCATCCCACTGGCCCACTGTCTCTAATGTTAATTGAGAGCATAAAATCAGGAGGAAAACAGGAAGTGGGGCATTATTAAAATCGCTGAACCTCCCACATTTCTTCAGAAATTGCATTTTATAGTTACACTAGTACTTTAACTACATTTTGCAGTAGCTTTCTGGTTGTTCAACTTCTTTTTTTTTTGCCATTTTTGAGTTGTTTAACTACTGAAACTAAAGACAATTTTGGCCCATGAAAGGAAAGGAATGATTTTTTTTCTGTTTTAATTGAGCCCCCTTTGACCTGATCTGACCACTAGACATGCCCAGGCATTTGTCAGGCAGTCCACGGCCTGATTTCTTATTTTTAATTTTTTTGGTTTATGTATGACCTGTGAACACGTAGGCACTTCTTGCAATTAAAAAAAAAAACACAGGCCTAATGCCAAAAAGGCACATGCCAACAAAAATGCCTCTCAACTGAGTTTTTTTTTTTTTTTTTTTTTTACAAAGTAGTTTTTACTACATTTTCTAAGCATCATTAGTTAACTGAACTCCCTTGGGTAGCTTGGGTAGCTGTAATTCCACTTCCTCCAGTGTTAAGTAATTGGTAGCTTGTAAAGCTTTGCTTACAAGGAAGCTTCCCCAAAACTGGTAGTAACACAAATATTGGCTTTTCAACTCCAATAACCCACCAGAGGAAAAACATAGTTGGGGATTCTTTATAATGGAAATACAACATTTTAGATAATGGTGTGAGTACCTTAACCATGAAAGATTTAGGGCTCAAATGTCAAAGCTGAGCTCAGTTTTTTTTTTTTTTTTTTTTTTTTTTTTTTTTTTTTTTTTATATTGCAGGTAAAGCTGGTCTCAGCTTTTAGAAATGCTGTCAGTGTTTTTTCTCAAGATTAAAATCAAGTTATCAGGTACAGGGTAATTTCTACCTATTATCCTAGAATTTAGAATGATGGCCACTGCAAACGAGCAAGGCTTCTTGGATTGACAGAGGGCCATGGCACTGCAGCTCTGGGGTTACTTTGCTTTGTAAAGAAGGCCCCAGCCATTACTGTACGGTTGTGGTTGTGGGGTCATCTGAAGTCTGTCATGGCTGGCAAGTGAGATTCACACCTGACTGAGTTTATATAAATACAAAGAATAACAATGATGAAGGTATAACATCACTAACCACTGGCCCAGCAGGTTCCTGTTCTGGATGACAACTTCACAAATGCAGCAGAACAAAATATTCGTGAAAGAATACAAACATGGAGAATTACCAACAGACACAAGTTAAGATGGAACCTAAAAATGTAAATGTAAGAGATGGAAAGCTTCGTTTAACAAGGCCATATATCACTGGAAAATGTCATTAATCATTTCCTGGCCACCATGTGGGAATAACCCAGGAATTTTATTTCTACAGGGACTTGCAAACATTTCATTGTAAACATTATTATGTTCAGTGACCAATATAGTAACTCTTTGTTCTGTTTTACTTTATACAGCATTTTTGATTTTTGGATTGTAGCAATTTTGGGTCTGATTTACTTAATGTAGTCTTGCTCCACGTTGTTTTGGTTTCCCTTTCCTGTATTGCTTCCTCTCACCACTTTCAGGATGTGTAGTGTTTCCTCTATAAACCAATAAATTGGTTGCATGGGGTGTTATTAAAAACTGCCAGACAGACTGAAAAACTGCCACACAAATATAAATGTATGCTTAAGTCAAGCCTGCCGTTGTGCTCAGTCGTTTATGGTCACTTTATTTTCATATTTCGTGGTATTACATTGACTTGTAATATAATTTTCAGCTCATGATAACTATGATTTTGTTTGCTGTAATTGGCTATGATCCCTCTGCAGTTTCCCGCAAATGAAATATAAAAGTTGTGCACTCCACAAGTCCCACAATAACACAAATTGAATCCATTGCATTTCTCACAAATAGCCTACTAAAGTTTGAGGACTTTCACGGGAACCCAGGGGGAGGTAGATGCTCAAAAAAAGTGTTTCTGGGAGGAGTCCCGCTTTTTTTTGCAGGATGACACGTGAAACTTTCCCGAGGAGTTGGTTGGTGTGTTTGCAGTGTGCTGTGCGGCTCTCCGTTAACTCGGGAGTCAACCTATAGCGAGAGTACGAGTGTGCCTCTGCCTATTTTTAGAAGTCTACCTAATGGGGGAAAACGAAGGGGCTTAAAGAAACTGCGGAGGAAGGTCTCAACTGCGCTGCAATGAGCTCGCACAACACCGCGAAGTGACGGAATTAAAAAAAAAAGAAAGAAAGTTTCCAGAGGTTCAACGCTTTTGCTTCAGCTCAACTTAACTCTGAGTAAAACGCAGTGGCCTCTGGAGAAGTTGCTGCGCAGCACCAATGGCTGCCCAGTGCGACACTTTAAGCGGATACTTGCAGCAGTCGGACCAGGGCTCTAACAGCGAGCGCAGCACCGACTCTCCTCTCCCGGGATCAGAGGAGGATCTGAGCGGCCCCCATCCGCTGCCAGATCCGGAGTGGACTGAGGAGAGGTTTCGGGTGGACCGTAAGAAGTTGGAAGTCATGTTATTAGGTAAATAATTAAGTACAAAGTTAGTGACATGTTTAAGTATTTCATTTAGTAATGCGTTTTTCTTTTCACGTTTCATCTGAGTGTTGCTTGTCATTGTTTCCGAGAAGCTGCACACTTTAGCAGCCTCCTGACGGCCCTTTGTTCAAATTGGACGTATAAAATGACACTTTCAGGACATAATTATTACTTTAAGTAGCTTAAAATTTCAGGACTCCTTGTCAGCACGACCAGGAAACAGGAGCGTGTCATGTGCTTGATCCGGAACGAATCAATTAGGGCAATTAAGCCGAGTCAATTTGTGACTTCAGTCAGTGTCACCACCTCATATACTAAAGAAAACGATGTGTTGAGCAGCTAAAGAACTCACTGAGTTTACAGTTATATGGGCGTGCGTGTTGCTTGAAACTAATGTTTGAACATAAGGTCGAAGGGGTCAAAGGCATGAGAGAGGGTTAACCATCAATGATGTAGCCGTCGTGCTGTGCCTATGGAGGTAGTAACATGCCCTGACCACAAGCTGTCGCTGCACAAACTCCCATGGCGTGCATTTGTTTGTAGACTAAACTGAAATTGACCTGAACATGCAGTTCATTTACTTCTCAGTAAAACAGTTTGCACACAGAAACAACTGGTGCAGCAGCGTTTGGCGGACTCCAACAAAAATGTTATGAAAAGGATCTGAAAGTTTATAAATAATCATTGAAACTGGTCTAAGTACAGTAGCAACAGTCTCCATTAGAAAATTACATATATTACATTTTCATGACTGTCATGCAGTCTGTCTCAACTCAACACCAGATTTCTTAAAAAAAAAAAAGTCATCTATCTTTTGTACATTATCATGTCTTTCTTGCATGTGTGCTGTTACTGCATGTTTTCCTCTTGGTGATAAAATTGATCCAGGGTGTGAGCTCTCCTCTAATGACGTGACAGTGAACAGTCAAACAAGCGATGACAAGCTCATAAAGAGAGGCCAGACCGGGCTCTGTTGAGAGGTCCCTGGAAACTCAGGTTGAGGTCATTTATCACACATTTCAAAACACTGAGTGGAATATTACAGCATTAGGTAAGTCTGCTGGATTCTTTATCAATTCCACAGGAAGACTGTAAGTCAGAGCTGGGAGGCGGCCAAACAGGACCTGTGGAGGAACTGTAATTAAAACAAGCATGATATAAACTGTGTCCACATTGCTGATGAGTATAGCTTTAAATTTTTAGCACTGTAACATGGTGAGAGCCGCTCATCAGGAGTA